AGTGAGGTCACTAAGCTCAGCATCAGTGAACACATGATCCCTAGCAAATCTTGTATCTTCAGTAGGGGGATTATCACGTCTTCCATCTCGTCTTCCACGTACAAAATCCATGAAATTAAGGAATATTCTGTGGTAGGATCTCCACTGCCCTGGGATAGTTACACCTGGTGGTGGTTGGGGAGGCCCTCCAGGACGTGGCCTTGCTGTTGTTGCTTGGCTATCAACACTCTCATCTCCATCATAAGCACCAGGAACATCATCCTCAGCAAGAAAGTCTTCACCACCAAGAATATCAGCACCACCAGCAGCAAAGTAAGGATCCTCGTCCTCCTCATTCTCTTCTTCAGCATCCATTACTCTGATGAGTTCCTCCAAGGCAGCAGCTTGACCCTCAGCATCCTCTGCAGTACTATCATTACTACTATTACCAGCACTCCTTCTCCTGCGAGGAACAACGCGTCTCCTGCTTCCTGCAACAATACTAGCAGGTCCTCGTCCTCCAGCAACGCCTCCAGTACTAACACGTCCTCCACCAGTAACTCGTCCCCCTCCACCACCAGTAACTCGTCCCCCTCCACCACCAGTAACACGTCCTCCAGTAACGCCTCCAGCAGCGCCTTCAGTAACTCGTCCTCCAGTAACTCGTCCTCCACCAGTAACTCGTCCTCCTCCAGTAACGCCTCCACCAGTGGTAACAACGCGTTCTCCAGTAACGCCTCCAGCAACGCCTTCAGTAACACGTCCTCCAGCAACGCCTTCAGTAACACGTCCTCCAGTAACGCCTCCAGTAACGCGTCCTCCAGCAACGCCTCCAGTAACGCGTCCTCCCCCAGTAATGCGTCCTCCGCGTCCACTACTAACAACGCGTCCGCGTTGTTCGCGTTGCTGTTGCTGAGCGGCTGCTGCTTCTTGTTGTTCTTGTTCCTCCTCCTCACGTACTTCACGTGCAATTGTAAACAAGTTTGGGGGGGGAAGTGCTTGCTGCATTCTTCTTGTTCTTGCTCCTCCACCCCCACGTCCTCCACCACGTCCTCCACCACGTCCTCCACCACGTCCTCCGCGTCCTCCGCGTCCTCCGCGTCCGCGTCCTCCACCAGTAGGCGCTCCTGGTGTTGCTGTGGGTGCTGGGGGTGGTGTCATTGTTGTTAGTAGTTTGCTTCTTTATTGCTTTGCTTTATTGCTTTGCTGCTGCAGTCGAAGTTTTTGTGTGAAGGAACCACCACAGCACACACTACAAGCAGGGGGTGTATTATTGCACGCTCTACGTACGTTTTAAGGGGAATCAACGGTCGAAAATGCAACTGAAAACGCTGCTGAATCCCACCAGTAAGAAAAAAAGCAATACTGTTTTAGTTAGTTAATTTACACACAAATTTTGGTATACTGTTKCAAAAAGAGGGATATTGGTCACCGTAAATAGAAATATATGGGGTAGGGCTATTCAGTATTGTTTTTGCGTTGCATGGGGGCRATTACGATAATGCAATTTTAGTTGCAAAATACCAATACTGTAACGATGGGTCGTAATTAATTATGACCCCTGCCTTTAACGAGGTAGAAGTACAGTACAACAGTACGGTACGTACGGTACTGAGTACCGTACTGAATTGATTCGGAAAATAATGTGCTACAGTACTAGTATGTAGTACCTGCACAGTACTATGTAGTACTTGTACTTCTACTTCGTACTACAAGTAGTACATATCCACAACCACCCTACGCTACCCTACTGTACAGTATCAAAGAACATTACTGTATTAGAAGCACTGTACGGTAAAGTACGGTACTTACTGGTATTCGGGAGAAGGAAAGGAATCGAATGGAGCAATGATTTTTTTGGCGCGCAACAATTTAAAGTGAACCTTCTACAGTACGAGTACCCCATTTTTGCAACCGATATTGCAAAACGGTCGAAGGAGTCTATCGGTACTTAAAATACGTACATTTCTACGTAGGCTATAATACCCCAACTAATCCCACTCTATTTACCACCGTACTTACATCCCCTACATAAATTCTGGTAGGAATTCTACTGTGCAACCGTATAGCACCTCTTTTGGTTGCTTAAGACGGAGCAAATTACACTGAGTATGCAACCATTTTGCAACTCCTTTGCCTCGTCACGAGAGGTGCACTTTCCTCGTCATGAGAGGTGCATTTTCCTCGTCACGAGAGGTGCATTTTTGCTCATAAAATTTGCAGCAGTCCTCGCGTACGGTTCAAGCAAAACCCCAAGCAAGAACAAGCAAATACTGCAAAGAAGCAAATACTGAAAGAACAAGCAAGCAACAAAGAATAGTAGTACCACTGTAGTAAGTATCGAATACTATCAAAGAACAGCAGCAGCACAAGAAGAGTATCCTCGCAGCCCCGTTGACTCACGAGAGGTGCAATTTTTGCTCACAAAATAGTAACAGCAGCAACGCTCGCATACGAGTATCGCATACGAGTACTACCGCATACTACGAGTATCGCATACAAGTACCGGTTCAAGCAAAACCCCAAACAACTATAGTGTAAAAAAACAGCAGCAACAAGCAACAACCAAATGGTAACAGCTCAACAGGCACAGCGTCGTCATCCCCGGGCTCGGAAAAGAAGGGGGGGCCTGTAACCCCTTCACGAGATGTGAACCAGCCAGGCCAATGGGGAAGATACCACAAGGTTCTGCTTGAGTTAATGGATCATGTACACGGAAGAGTAGATGAAGGAGGACCCAACGGCGATAATCGGTTTCCGAATGATACTCTATTCACGGATGAGCAGTTGAGTCTCCTAACACCAGATCATATCTACAAGTTTTTTGCAAAGAAGGTGTTTGGTAGGGAGGATCCTGGTGTTGATGATAATCCTACTGAAGGGAGATCTTCATCCCTTGTTTACTACAAGAAGGCGTTATCCTATTTCATGCCAAATAAGCTGCACAAGTGGACTGTTATTGGCGGTGTTGGCAGTGGAAATCCTACTAAGTCCCAGCAAGTGAATGATCTAATTGCAGCTGTTATCAAGAAGGAAACGAGAGGACTTGGGCAGGCAAGCAGCATGGATCGACCTCTTACCAAGGATGAGTACTTGCAAACACTAGAACTGATGGGGAATCATGGCCATCTCATCAAAAGGCTCCRATATCTTGCAATGATTAAGTTCCAGCTCCATCTGATTGGGCGGAATGATGATACAGCACATGTTGGAAAGGACAGCCTGGAAAGATCTGCTGAGTTCCCTAAATTCCTTACGGCAAAGATGAAGTGGTCGAAGAACGTGAGAGAAGAGAGGGACTGTCCAAAACAAATCTTGCTTGGTTCCATGGATCATCGCGCTTGCGTTGTACTGGGGCTTGCCTTGTATCTTGAGAAGTGGTGCAAAGGAGACGGAGCAGGAAGCCAATGGTTATTCACTGAAGGAACTACAGATAGTAGATCACCACAAAAGGATATTGCAAAAGAGGTTAATAAAGGGAAGGCTGCATACTCTAATTTCATCAAGCGCCATGCATTTAAGAATCCTGTCTTTGTTCCTGAAAGACCTCTTTCAGAAGGGAAGCTTGGTACTCACTCCATTCGGAAGTTCGGTACCACCTATGCAAGGCAGTGTGGTTGCTCAAGGGACGATGTTGATTATAGAGCAAGATGGAAGTCGAGACGCCAGCAGGACAGATACACTGACACACAGCTTGCATGGCCTGATGTAAATGTTGCTGCTAAGCTCTGTTTTGGAGGCATCTGTTACTACAAGCCTTTGCAAGGAACGGGCGTCACTGATGAGTGGCTTGCTGCTTCAGTTGCTCCTAATATTGCCAATGTGTTTGGTAATCAAGTGGCAGCAATCCTAGGAAAGGCATTGCTTTGGGCTTGCTGTGATCCAGCAATGCAAGCGTCCGGCTTGATTCCTGAGGATGTAAAGAATGATGTTGTCGGTTCTTGGGTTCAACTCAATCACAGTCATGGTCCTCAAAGATTGGATGCTGATGCTGTGAATCCTATCAAGAAAGTTGAGCTGACTGTGAATGAGATCAGTGGGCAAGTTCACTTCGATGAGCTTGCAGATCCGGATGATCTGGCGGGCGGAGGGGGAGCCCCTGGAGCCGCTGGAGGGATTCGACGGACTCAGCTGCAGTGGAATCATGCAATGTTCTCCAAGCTGTTTGCTACAGCGAATCAAGTGAATGATATTAAAAATAGGCAGATTGTAGCTGAAGCCAAGTTCAATCAAAAGCTTAATAAAGCCATCGAGCTGTCTCAAAGAGCTGCAATGGCACCGGTTGTAAGAAGGAGGCCTCCTCGTGCATTGAACAGTGGCGCGTCGGAGACTGGGAACGACGCTGAGCTGTGCAAGTGTCCTCACGACCTTTATGTCCTTTGGAATGAATGGGAAGTGGGCGTTGGTCTTAATAAGCCTGCAAAGGAGTTCACCGCTGCTGAGCGTGGTAGAGTGAAGAGCAAGTATTGCAGGAGACTGAAGTTCTGGAAGTGCATGGAGAGGCTGATTCGTGCTGGTGCTTCTTCTGAAACTGYTGTCAGACAAATTTACWCTGTGTATGGTGGTCCAACCAAGAAGGTCTCCTATATCCTTAGAGCCATGGCTCCCCATGAAGCTGTTGGGGGACACCACTTGCTTAGAGGACCGACTGTTGGTGCTGCTGCTTAATCCTCGTCGCCGTATGGTTAGCTGACAGGAGTGTTGGTATCGGTGTTGTCGTTATCGACGTGATTGCCAAGAATTACTCTCCCGACTTGGTTTTTTTTCATAGAATTTGCCTTGTGCGTGATCATGTGAGTACTTCTCACCAAACACGCTGATACTCCAGCGCTCCGCGCACTGGCTTGGTACACCTTGTACTTCTACATAGATAATGTACTGTGTCCTACATGGTTGTAATTTTAGTTATATTTTCTTTTGGTACTGCACGAGTACCTCTAGATTACTCACCTCGTACTATCGTACCGGTACAGTAAGGGGACACAAAGAAGCGAGATCCCGTTCGTTGTACGTAGAGTGCGTACCTGCTCCATGGATAGAACCTCGTAGTGCACGTCGTACTCGTACCATTGGAAAACATTGAGATCGAACTGAGAATAAAAATTACTACTAGAAATCCAAAATCCTGAACGAGTTATGGCGAGACCCCGCACCGGTAAGGTACATGGTACGATACTCGTAGCAATAACAGAGAACGTTGTGTGACAGGTGACAGGATAGGACCGAACCCACATAAGTACAGGGGACCCCTGCATAAGTACGGGTACCGGTACGTACAGTGCTGTAGTACAACCATTACAGTACTACATTCCATTACTGCAATAGTTGTCTTCGTATGATGAACATCTGTGCTCTCACTGTAACAAAAACTAAACGAAAACGGATTCTCCCAAAAAATTTCCTCTACAGTAACCATCTCAAAAAAGACAGCAAAGTAAAACTTTCCTCTGCTTACAACGCCTTCCTGGACAAATGGATTTCCAAACTGTACTCGTATATAGTGAGACAAAGTACTAGAAGAAAGTTGAACACCTTCTGGCCCAGTATCAACTGAACACAAACAAATCTGATGCCGACCAGACTGAACACGGCGCGACTCGACTAATTTATCATACGATCACCATGGCCGAAACCAGCACGACAACACAGCCATCCATTCCCGGTTTCGGATTTGAATATTCATGTACTTCTGAGGATCATATAACCTGCGCCGAGCAGTGCGTTGGTTTGGAGGACTGCGAATCCTGCGGATGTGCCGTCCTTCTAACAGAAGATACTGGCGGTCCGTGGGGAGAAGTGATGGACGTCGCATTGGGACTGCTGCCCGTTTTTGTCCTGGTTGTTGTAACCGTGATGAAAAATCCATGGCCCACCACCCGGTCCCTTCCATTTGCGGCCCTGATGATGTTCCTGATCCGATTGATGTACTATGGAAGCGACGTGACTCTGACCTGCGGGTCGATTATTTTGGGGTTGTACGAAGCGATTTCCCCAATTTCCATCATCGCTGGAGCGATGACGCTCTTTGAAACCATGGAGGTGACCAACTGCATGCCATATATGATGAGAGAGATGAAGGCTTTGACAAACGGGCATCCCATTGCCGAGTGCATGCTGTAGGTAAAAATGAACATTGCGAGAATAAATGCTCCCTTCTACAACAAAATACCCGAAAGTTAATATTTTTGGGAAGCATTTTAGAGTTTTTGCTGAAGAAGTATCTCCTTCTTGCGGTTTTGTTGCAATCTGCAACATTTCTTGTTTTCGGTTGTTGATCCTCTTTTCTAACCACACAGAACTCATTTTTTGCGCTTTGTTCGCCAGAATTTTTTCGTTCGCCTATATGGTGGAGGTAAGAATACGCAGGTAATACGTTGCTTCCTTCGACTACCTATACCATTCTGTTTCGCATTTCCTGCATTGAGTATTTCTAGATTTTTGTGCCTCATCCAACTCCAACTACTTGTTCTGTTCCGCAAATAAATAATTTTCTACTGGATAGGGTGCTTCTGGGTTCGGAACGCCGGTCGCTCTGGGGGCACCCATGTTGATCTCAACGGGCCATCCCAAGTTCGAGTCCGTTGTAGTATTGCTTATATTTAACACGTTTGCCACTGTATGGGGAGCCGTCGGTACCCCAATTTGGTTCGGCTTCGCTGGATTGGTCACCGAAGACGAGTTCATCGAAGTATCCTACAAATCTGGAATCGCATTGGCCATTGGATCCTTCATTTTATTACCTTTGTGTCTAACCTTCTTGGTGCCATTTGTGCTGGTGAAAAAGAATGCTACCTTCATTTTACTCGGTCTTTTGGTATGCGTTGGTCCCAGCACTGGAATAGCCTTCGTGAATTACGAATTCCCAGCATTGATTGGTGGTATGGTGGGGTGTATTTTAACTACTATTTTGATTGGTTTCGATGTTGGACTAGTTCCTCTAAATCCAGAGGATCATCCCAATCACAATCCAAATGAAATTGGAACCGTTTCGGATCGAGGGATCGTTTCCGATTTCAGAGCAGAATTGGAACAATCAAGTACACGTAGTACTGAAACCGAGAATGATAACGAGGCTGTGAATGACGAAAGTCGCAGAGAGAAGATTCCCGTGGTCGCAACCGAACAGTCTTTGAATAGATCAAAAATTGCTGATGGGGAAGGAGAAGGACAGAATCCCGTTGGAGAATCCGCAATCAACGCTCTGACTACACCTCTTACGACTCTAGAGGACTATCTCGATCGAGTGCTTGGGCCTCGGAAACCATTCGGGAGAGCATACATCATGGAATTGATGAGTAGAACTTTTCCTATTTGGGGAGTTGTTCTTCTTCTCGTTCTGACTCGGATTCCTCAATTTCACATCAAGCCGTATTTGATTCTGAAGGAACCATACTTTGAAATCTACCTCAACACTTACGGTACCTTCCGTCTTTCTGCAAGTCTTGTCCTGCAACTCAACAATATCCTTACGTATCCAAATCTGAATTGGAAATACGAGCTTTTATACACCCCGTTTGTTATTCCCTTTGTAATAGTTTCGATTGCCACCATGATCATACATAGGAAGAGTATGGGAGATACAAAACCGTTGGGAGTTTTTCGAACTGTCGCAAGTCGATTGGTTAACCCATTCATCGCCTTGCTCGGAGCACTAGCACTCGTTCAACTCTTGATCAAGACGCAAACAGAAGCACCAGCTTATATCCTTGGTACCATCTTGGCTTCCTGGTTTAAACAGGGTTTTGTGATTATTTCGCCGCTTCTCGGGGCACTAGGGTCTTTCTTTTCTGGATCGACCACGGTTTCGAACCTTACATTCGGATCCATCCAAGTCATAGCTGCAGAAACAATTGGTATTTCAAAAACAAGCATGCTTGCTCTACAAGTTGTTGGAGCTTCTGCTGGAAATGGAATTTGTCTGAATAACATTATTTCCGCATGCACGATTACCGGCTTGACTGTCAGTGAGGGGACAATTCTGGCCAAAACATGCAAATTCGTCTTTTCAAGCACCTCGATTGCCACCATTGTGATGTTAACATTCTTCATTCGTTTTAGATAAATCACATCGGCATCTCCAAATGTATTAAATAAAATCCTACTTCTCATAGTATACTTTTATGAGTTCGCTATTCCCATCAAAAAAATCACTGAAGTCATGTACGGTACTTGTTATTGCTATGACAAATCCTATTCAGGCTTCCAACTTCTTAGGATAATAATTTTCAGTGATGTTTTGCCAATCCTTTTCAACTCCTAAAATTGATTTCATTTTCCATTGTAGCACCAGTTGTGTCCTCCGTTCTGCCAATAAGTGAAAAGGCAATTTGGTTACAACTACTAACACTACTAGGTAAAATTTGTGTTCTTCTGTTCTTCACTCATTGTTGTCTCCGGAGTAGTGCACAGAATAGAACAAGCTAATTGAGTACAGTAACAAGAAAAAAGCATTAAAATCTTGTAACTTTGAGTGATGAGCAAATATATGGAAAACAGCAGCAGCAAAAATCACTACCCATATCATAGTAGCTATTACTGTGCCAGTTGAAGCAATAGGATATTTGACAGCAGTCTGCTGATTGAGGTGATATGATGGTTTGCACTAGAACTGGTACCAAAAGGGCATATATAACGTACTAACCATGGCAATAGCACACTACTACTAGTAGTAAGGGCCAAAGCAATGATTAAAATAATTATGAGAGCAATGTCTGGTTGGTGCTGTCTATTGTTACATAAAGGTACTAGGAATTAAATCTAGATGATGAGGACAAACTTGTTCTGATCTGGTATTTGCTCTAAATTTGTCAAATGGCTGGGTGAGGTTGGTCACAGTTGAGTTTTTCACATGGTGCTATCTAAATCTTGAAGCAGACAAAATGTCTAATACCCCCAACAGCATTCCAGATATAGTACTATAATATGTGAATTTTTCTCTTTATCATGTACTAGTATAAACAACACGAAAGAAACTTCAAAGGGTAGTATAAATAAGTGTTGTAAAAAAATCTTAATATCATATTTAACCTCATGAACTAGAAGAGGCACTATATGGCCAGAACCATAGCTTTTGTTGGAAAGTATGCTTCTAGCTGCTCCAAGGGGCGGCACTTCCCTCCAAGGAGGTTTGATGGAAGTGCAACCAGGCGACCAGGGTTGGTCTGCTGGATTTAAAATAACTGATTGAGCTTAGTTTGGAGTAAACCGGAAGAATTGACAGGAGGAGCCAAAGTAGTATCTGGCACAACAGGTCGTTTGGGTTGTTTCTTTTTGGAGTATGCGTCAAAGACCAGCAGGGCTTGTGTGACACTCTCCACTGGTTGTTTACTATGAGGCAGTGGCGTAAAGTACTGGGTAATAGGGCAAGTGTTGGAGGCCAACGCACTCGTGGCTTGAGTGACACTTTCCAGAATCATTTTCTTGTAGACTTGATGGTAATATGTGAGCATGGAGGTAGGTGTAGTCAATAAGAAGGCTTCCATGTCATCTGGAAATAGGTGAGTGTGGGACGGACAAGTCTGTGATTTTAATTCAAACAAATTCCGAACTTTCATCACTACCTGCTGTTGATGCTTTGCTTACTTCTGAGAAAGGGTATGGCCATGGCGATCTTTATTTCACTGCTCCATAGTGATATATAGGAGGTAAGAAAGAATTCCGCCAGGTGGCCCCCCAACACCAGTGGGGAGTAAGAGCTGGAATGAAGATAAGGAGCAGTAAACCACTGGAGCAAAATGTGACCGGCAAACATGTGGTGCCAACCAATTTCACTCTGGAAATGGAGAACTGGATGAAGGAATGCAGGATATTTCTCTGGGGAAACTATTCCATTGTTGTCTATCCATTCAGTGAGACATGTAGCAAGAGTGTCAATGGCAATTGGTTGGAAGCCAAGTGTGGACATATGTTGTCATAGAGAGGTGATAGTCTGTCTTTGCCATCTGGTGCGTGATAGGTGAGAACATTGAAAGAGATGCTCAGAATCTAGTATAAATTAGTGTTGTAGTTTCATGCAGTAAATTTGTCACAAAGATTCATGAAAACATTCCGTATGCATAAATCAGTTTCTGACTACTACTAGTAGTAGTAGTAGTACTACTCCTGCATCAAGCAAATGATTGATTGATGTCCTTAGTACAAATGAATTACACAACCAGTGTTACACCTAGCAGTACCAGGTAGTAGTAATCACCATTGAACATTCTGGGTCTAAATAGTAATGGCAATTTGACAGATAAAAATGGAATTTTTTGTTTTCAAACTTCAATCTGATACTAGAGACAAACTTTGAACTCAAATAGGTTGAAATTTTCAGTTACAATTAGTTTATATTAACTGGTCCCTACTGGTGTAGTAAATCCCAATCTCAATACTAGTAGTGCACACTGGACATGGTAGTGCATTTTTGATCACATGATTTCCTATAATTCAGTTTCTTGTTTTGTATGCATCCTCTTTCTTGATTGAATGATTTTCAAAATTGTACTCATACTACTGCTAGTGCTACATAATGTACTTTTATCATTGTCTACTAGTACTAGTTGTACTATTTGAATGAAAGAATTTCATTTCTACCAGCAGAAATGAATTGTGTTGACTTCTGGATTATGATTGTATTATATCTACTAGTAGTACTAGTAGTACCATTGCAGTGTTTCTATGCCCCCTAGTACTACTAGTACTATCTACTAGTTGTGCTAGTATCCCACTGTGTCATGTAGGCATTACACTGCTACTAAGTAGTAGCACTTGAAAACATAATTTTCAAAATGATTGTTTTCAAACACACAAAAATTACACTTTGGTTTTGAAAATTATCACCTTAGATTTCCTACTGATTCCTACATACTAGTACATACCTGAACAAGGCTTTCTGGCATCCAAACCACCATGGTGACAGCCCCTTCCAAAGGGGAAAACCCACCTCCCTGGCCTCTTAAGGCAATCTCAAAAAGACTATACCACTACTCAAATTGATATGGCAGTTTGCTCCAGCTGGTGGATCCATCCCCAGTTCTCCCAGATTGGAAGAAGATTCTGGTCATGATGTTGTTGTTTCCGGCACTCATGTTGGACAGCAACAACAACAACCCCAGCCCCAAGTATTCAACCAAGATCTTTGAAGAACAACACCTGGAGTATATGCTACATACTCAATTTAAAGAGGGTTCCCCAGACTTATCTCCAAGCAGTTCCAGTTTTTTTTATACTGGAAGCCCCAGTGTTTTCTGGTCACAATGTTGTTGTTTCTGACATTTGGGGTGGCCAGCAACAGCAACAACCCCAGCCCCCATTATTCACCCAAGACCTATCCTTGAAATACCACCTGGATTTTATGCTGCATACTCAGCTAAATAGAAAATTCATCAGCTTTCTTATCTCCAAGCAGTTTTTAATTACAGACCAGAAGCCCCATAGTTTTCTGTTCACAATGTTGTTGTTTCTGGCATTCATGTTGGATAACAATAACAGCACCCCAAGTTCCATCATCAAAGGACTCCCACCACAATGATACTGTTGAGCTCTGTATCCCCAGTAACTCCACCAGCTGGAGCTTACATTTGCCTCAGCTGGAGCCATCCCCACTTAAGGACTGGAAGCAGATTCTTGTCATGATGTTGTTATTTCTGACATTTGTGTTGGAAAGCAACTACATCAATCCCAGCCCCCAGTATTCCACCATGGCCTTTGAAGAACAACGCCTGGAGTATGTGCTACACCATACTCAGATTTAAAGAAGCTTTACCAGCCATATCCCCAGACAGTTCTGGTATTTATGGACTGGAAGCATCACTGTTTTCCAGTCATGATGTTGTTGTTTCTGACATTTGTGTTGGACAGGAACAACAACAACATCCAGTATTTAACCAAGATCTATCCTTTGAAGAACAAATCTTGGATTACTATACACTACACCATACTCAGTTTTATAGAAGATTCACCAGCAGCCCTAGTATCTCCAGGCAGTTCCAGTATTTACAGACAGGAAACTGTGAACCAACGCCTTTTATGTCCTCTGAATCCAATCCCAGCCTTCATTGCTTGTCTGTTAGTAGTGTGCATAAAACTTGGTCGCACCTCAACAAATCTCCTCCAATGGAGATGCCACCCATTGGAGCAGCTACTAGGAGCATTCTTCTCCCTAGTCCAGAGAGGATATGGTTCTGACCATAGTGTCTCTTCTAGTTCACAAGGTTAAATATAATATTAAGATTTTTTTCATTAGCAAGAGTGAACTCAACTATTTTTTGGAAGAACAGGAATATTCTATGGATTGATTGATGAACTTGTTGTTTTTTAATTGGGCCTCCACCATGTCAAATTTGGCTGCTTCAAGTCCCAGAAGGTAAAGTTAATTGCTATTTGGAAAGAGGGGGGAACAGAAACCAGTGCTCTGTCAAGCTTTTGTGGAGTTCCTTAAGTTCAGGTATGACAACCTCTGGAAAATCTTCAACTTCTAGATAAGCCAGCAGAGGCCTAGTAAAGATAACTGCCATCTTTAATATGATTGGACTGGCATGGTTCTTCAGACCAGCAAGATGATACTATCAGTACTAATTCTGCAGGGTGTCCTCCAGATCTTGAATACAAGTCAACACTTCTAGCAGTGTAGTAGTAGTACTAGTACTACCAGTAATATCAGTTAAAGACTTTGAAAAATGTAACAATAATTCAGATACATCTACCATGGATGGCCTAAACCATGTTTTTTGGTGCTGAGCTACACACAAACTCAGTCCCCTTCATACTACTACTAGTATGAATCAGTATTGGGGTCATATTTTCACCAAATTTAGGTCATAGTAATAGTGCAACCAACATAAGTCATTAATGTCCCAATGTCACCAACAGACATAGGCAAACAGATCATAAAAATGTTTCATTCAACTTTCACATAATAATAATGTTTTTGAGATGAATCACTTAAATCTGTATTTGGATGTATTTCTAGTAGTTAGGAAGTATAGTAGTATGTGGTGTACCAGAATACAAGATATGCAGTACATGACATCTTTAGAAGTGAGAGACAGAAAA